GGTCCATTAATTCATATCTGGTTACTATGAGGTTCTTTCTTCTTTCTTTGGAACATCTGGTACTGGCTACTGTCCTAGATGAACCATAGGTCTGATCCAGTCTGGCAGTTCCTGTGTTCCTAAACTATGGGCTTTCATGACTTGTGTAAAGATGCTAGTACTACAGTAAAGGACCCTTTCTAAGAATGCTCCACCATGACTGAGCACCTTGGATACTTTCCTGTATTCTGCTTTTTCCATATCAGTATGTGCTATTTTTACATATACTCCTTATTCACCTGCTGATTTTATTATAAACTTATAACTTTGAAACAGGTCATACTTCAGAAATAGAAGTTATTTTAATTTAGGGAAGTATTTACATACTTCAGGAATGATTCTAGTGTATATTCTGACGCAAATCCTCTCAAATTCCAAATTCACAACAGAGCACATCTAAAGTGGATGAGTCTAATTTTAAGGGCATCTTAGATGAAAGTAATAGAAATGTAGCCGTGTTAGTCTGGTGTAGCTGAAGCTGGTGTAGTCCTGCATTTTGCTTTAGATGAAAGTGTGAGTCTACAAAGCCTACTCCAGAGTATTTTGATTGCAGTGGTCTTTGGATCAGCCCTTTAGTCCTTTTCCTTTAATTTGCCTTCATATGGAAGCATCAAGCTTCTTCTAATCATGATTGTTGGCCATCTTCTATTTCTATTCTGATCTGTTTGAGGTAAGGTGACCCTAACTGAACATGGCATGGGGTTCAAGGTGAGAATGTATAGCTAATTTCTATATGGTCATTATGTTTTCTGTATTATTAACCTTTACTTCATGCAAATTTACCTTGCTCTTTGACCAATGCAGAATGTAGAGCTGATGTTTCTATTGAACTGTCCACAGTAACCTTTTCCTGACCTATTGAAACCATTTTAAACTGATCTGAGTGTATGTGTAGTTTAATGCTTTACACCTGGCCAGTCTGCATTAAATCGTGTCTGTCATCAAAAAAAGCATCCTGTTGCCTAGTTAGTATTAACCAGTGTTAAAATCCTTCCTGAATTTCCTACAGGTCTGGTTGGTTTTTATCAAAACAATCATTTTGCATCATCATAAAATTTTAACATTTCATAATCCACCTCATCTTCCAGGTCATTTAATAAGTATATTGAAGAATATTGGTCCTAATTCCAGCCCTCTTGGGTCAGCTAGAAGGTGTGAAAGACAGAGTAGTTGCTGACCTTGCTTGCACTAGGAAGTACTGTTGTGTTGAAGATCTGCAAATGTTATTTCTTTCAGGAGAGTGTCTGATTCCTTCAGAATTACTGAGGTATAGAAATCATTGGTAATACAAGCCTAAGGAATCATAATTAGTCATGTTTTTCAGGTGATCACCACTTATGAAAATACAACGCAGCTCCCAGGACCTTCATTCTAAAATTGTGTTAACTTGGCTATTGTATAGTTTGGGGAAAAGGGGCCTATCTACATCATAAACTTGCTGTGAGGATTGTTACCCCAAATCGCAAATGGCTAACTGTGAAGAACAGATTTATTACCTGGCATAATTAATTGCCTAGATAGTGACATTTCCCATATTATAGACAATTGTGAATTATGAGCCCAGCTGTTAGCCTTCTCATTCACTGAAATCGGTTGATAAATATGTTTATTTGAGGTCAGCTCAGCCTCATCCATTAGAAATATTGTTTTTCTAAACATTACATTGATTTAATTTAACTCTAATCAATTTAAAATGGTTCTGACAATTAACAAAAGCTTCAAATATGACCTTAAAGTAATAGGATTCATTAGCTATGTTTAGGATTAAACTTATCCTAATAGGGCTATTTTTCTTCTGGGGGCATTTGGTAAGCCTACTGGTGGTCAGTCAAAACCAAATCAATTATTATAAATTATACAGTTTAAGTTGATTATGTAGTGCCTGCTAATTTGTATAAATTAGGACCTCAAACAATAGAAGCAATTTATTAATAAGTATCTGTACCCTGAACCTGTATCACACTTTGTTACAGCTGCAGGGTCATCTGTTAACCATGAATTATTATATTCTCTGCAGCCAGACATGTATGCTAATTAAACCCATAATTAATTGTAACAGTTATAGTTAAAGTCAAAATGCTGACAGCCTTTTTGCCCTATTATTCATGGTAATCAACTGATTCAAAAGGCAATCTAATCAGCAATTCATACGTTAGCCAGAGGATCATAATACAACGGCAGTACCAGTGACAGCTGGCACCCACAGGTCTTTGGATACAATAAGAAATATAAACCTCTTGAATTGCAATGCTTCAACATGAAGTGTCTCTATTGTCTTCCAATACAAATACAAGCATAAGGAATATTTAAGAATTGAAGCCTGAATCCAATAGCTAATGGGAGTTCAGCAAGAGCCATCTCTCCACAGAATCTGTCCTGAATCTTTACTATAATTATACCACTGCAATTATAAGAATTCATTACGTCTATTTAATATCTTCTGGGATACAGTTATAGAGCTCCGGGAAAACTCTTGGTTGCTTGTAGCATTGAATCTCGTTGGCATTAGAGATCTCTAGAGAGAGTTTTCATATTGCAAAAGCTTGAGGTTTGGTTGTGGTACTGTCACTGGAAGACGTTCTGCTCACATGAAAACAGTACCAAATGCAGCCTCCTCTCTAAATGTCTGCACTTCTCCACAGAATGAGCTGAGCATAAAAATGCAAGGTACAAGTCAACCCCTGCTATACGTGAGACTTGAATGTCTCAGAAATAAGGCCAAACAAATGTTTAACAGATAATGTCACTCAGAATTTAAAGTGCCTTAAAGCCTGAAAACTGCCTCAACTGTTTCTGATGAATCCTTGTGGGAAGATGAAAGGTGATCCCAGAGGTCTGAGCCCAGCATTGGGGACTACTGAATTCTGACACTGACCCCCTCTGGCTATGTCTACACAGCAGAATTAGTTTAGAATGACTGACGTTATTCGGACATAACATAGTCCACGTCTACACACAAGCAGTTGTTCTGACATAGCATGTGTTTAGACTACAGGGTTTTTTTGAAAAAAGTGGCCTTTTTTTTAAAAAACTTCCCCTGCATCTAGACTGCCACCATGTTCTTTCGAAATTAAATCGGCGTTTTTTCAACTGCGGTAAACCTCATTTTACGAGGAAGAATGCCTTTTTTTGAAAGTGCTCTTTCGAAAAAAGTTGTTCCTGACTGCAAACAGGGCTTTTTTGAAAGATTGCCTGGGTTCTCTCTTTCGAAAAAGCAGCTCGCTTTTTCAAAAGAAGTGGTTGTAGTCTAGACGTAGCCTCAATGTCAAGCTGGAGAATTGCTTACTCCCACTCCTGTAACCCTCATTGTACGAGGAGTAAGGGAAGTTGGGGGAAGAGTGCTCTGTCTTGAAATAATACTGTGTAGACAGTGCCAAAAGTCAAAATAAGCTCTTTCGACTTAAGTTAGCTCAAGTTGCATAGCTTATTTCGAGTTTAGCCCTGCTGTGTAGACATGCCCTCTCGGACTGAGACAAGCCACTGAATCTTTCTGCCTCCATTTTTAACCTGATACAAAACATTTGAATGGGTCTATTTAGAGGCCTGTATTGCATAGGCACCACACTGCCCCTGTTTCTGTTCTAAGAGGGTTGTTATGAGGATTGTGTCAAGCCCTCTGAGTATGAATTTTTTGTACCTAGCACCTATATAAAGCAGCAAACACACTTGCTTTCTGAAGCAAAGCTGCACTCCAGGCTATAGTATTCTGCAGAATGTTAATGTAAGCAGCTACTCAGTGGCTGTGTCTAGACTGCATCCCTTTTTTGTAAAAGGGATGCAAATTAGACATATCGCAATTGCAAATGAAGCGAGGATTTAAATCTCCCCCGCTTCATTAGCATAAAAATGGCTGCCGCTTTTTTCCATCTCGGAGCTTTGCCGGAAAAAAGCGCCAGTCTAGACGTGGATCTTTCAGAAAATAAAGCCTTTTCTGAAAGATCCCTTATCCCTCTTTATTTTCCGAAAGATCCGCGTCTAGACTGGTGCTTTTTTCCAGCAAAGCTCTGAGCCGGAAAAAAGCGGCAGCCATTTTTTGCAAATGAAGCAGGGGGATTTAAATCCCCGCTTCATTTGCAATTGTGATGTGTCTAATTTGCATCCCTTGTCTATACACAGCCAATGTGTTACACGTCCACATACAGAGGAGCTGAGTCTGTTCCCGCCTTCTCTTTAATGCACTCTGTAGAGACTCATGCATTCAGCTCTGGCAGCTTCCAATTCACTCCATAGGGTATCAGTCAATATGGGAGCTATTGCATTCATATTCATTGCTTGCAAAGTAAGTCTTTTGATAGGTTGCACTGCACCAGAGCAGTCATCATACAGGGACATAAGGGCATAAAGCACTGTCTGGAACAGTAGGCTCAACTTTCCACTTGAGGGTTTCCAAGCCATGCAGTATCAAAAAGCCACTGCCGCAGGACTCACAAGCCCATTAGCCATGCAGAAGTGGAGCTTGCATGATGGAGGACTGCCATCTTTCTCTCCAAGCCTCCTCCCACTCTCCCTATGACAGTGCTAATGCGTTCCTCCCTTCTACTAGCACACACCCCACTCGAATACAGTGCCCTTCAGTGGAGCACTGAACAAGTCAAAGAGCCGGAGGGCAGACATGAAGCACAAATAGAGATATATGTGGCAGTTTGACAAACGGACACATTAAAGCGCCAGTTTCCTGGCCAGAGAACTGCATTACAAGCTGCTGTGCTTAAAAACATACATAAAGTGCAATGCAGATCAAATTATTGAGCACTGGGGCAAAAAAATAAAGATCAGAGATTCTGATGCAAACGATGAAAACAAATGATCAGTGACTAAGCTGCACACACACAAATCTGTCCAATATTGTTTGTCTCTATCATTACCCTGCATGCCCTACACCATTCCATGTAGTTCTTTATCCAGCGTCCTTATTCTTTAACTCTATGGACCCCGTTTAACTCTACTTTGCTCTTTTCCAGGAAACTTGATACTTCCCTTGGCAGAGGAGACACATGACTGTGATGCTCCGCAGATCGCTGTCTGACTTGACTGGGGTCATTGCAGCTAGGAACAAATTAGAGCAACCGGTGGTCTTCCAGTCCAAGAGTGGAGGAAGGTGTGAAGTGGTAATCATGCTCCCCAGGCTTCTCAGTTGGCCCCTATGATCATGAAGCTACTTGCTCTGGTGGAAGAATATCTTTGTGCCTGCCCTTTTGTGCTTCAGCTGTGCATCATTTCAGCTACAGTCATCTAGTCAGCCAGGTGATGTGGCCTCCGATCGCAAGTCCATTTCCAAGCGTCTCCTCCTGTAGTTAAGCCTGGAAAAGGCCTATAGCTTTGTTCAGTCAGTAAGTCGTTACATACACAATAGACTTTCCGACTGTGTCTAGACTGGCAAGTTTTTCCGCAAAATCATCTGCTTTTGCGGAAAAACTTGCCAGCTGTCTACACTGGCCACTTGAATTTCCACAAGAACACTGATGATCTCATGTAAGATTGTCAGTGTTCTTGCGGAAATACTGTGCTGTTCCTATTCGGGCAAAAGCCCTCTTGCGCAAATCATTTGCGCAAGAGGGCCAGTGTAAACAGCACAGTACTGTTTTCTGCAAAAAAGCCCCGATTATGAAAATGACGATCGGGGCTTTTTTGCGGAAAAGCGCGTCTAGATTGGCCACAGACGCTTTTCCGCAAAAAGTGCTTTTGCGGAAAAGCGTCCTGCCAATCTAGACACACATTTCCGAAAATGCTTTTAATGGAAAACTTTTCCATTAAAAGCATTTCCAGAAAATCATGCCAGTGTAGATGTAGCCTCCATGTGCAGCTCCTTAAACTTGCTTAGCCATTGTTTCATAAGCAGATTTACATTGTCAGTGTTGGGTCTAGGACACAAACATCTATATGCATTACAGGGAAGCTGCTACATTAATTCTCATGTACAGTGTGGCCCTTCAGGGGCATTTTTGCCACAAAATATATTGCACTTGTGATCGTTAATGCTTAGAAATAAAACAGAATAATAATCAACCTTTAGCTGCAGTTTCCTCCTGGTTATTGAGCTGAAGTTAATGACTGGCTGAAAAGTATTTGTCAACACAACAGCTGGAAAGCAACACTTTCTTGTAGCTTTATGTCACAGCATATGCCAGCCACTCAGAACATGTGATAATTCAACTGGAGCTGATACTACAATAGCAGATGGGGTGAAGCATTGTTATTCTCACTCGAGCTCCCAGCCCTTGAGGGATCACTAAATAAAATCAAAGCAGATGGACCATTACAAGCTCATTTGTGTTCACTACAAGCACCTCAACCTCCAGTGGTGATATACTGCACCTTTGTATAAAATGACACGTATGGGAACATGACCTAATGAAAATAGCATCAGACTTGGCAAGTGAGGAATGGGGCTGGGAAATATGCACCAATCTATTCACCACCGAGCTCGAACCTTGCAGAGAGGGTTTGGGGTTTCCCCCTGTTTTCATTTTGGTTCAATGCACTTGAGGCACTAACTGGAAATTCCAAGAGAGGTGGACGCTGAGCCCCTCTGTGGAGCCCATGGAAGCTCAGAAGGGAAGTTAGTGCTCCCATTTCTCACTTCTACAAGCAGACATTACACTTAATGGATAATACTTAATACTTTGTGTATAAAGTATAATACTTATTGTGCTTAATGTGCAGCATTCTGTCACTGCTTCCCCCTTCAGGAGCATCTGTGGGCCAGCTTGAGACCCCACTTAGAGGTGTGTTGGGCCCCAATTCATTAACCCATGTTCCTACATGCTTTTCTCCATAGGGGTCTAAGTTGGAGTAATGCCCTGAGTTCACTGGTCAGTGATTCCTCTGATTCAGCCCAACCCACTCCTACGGCCACTGGGCCTTAGAAAGGAATTCATTTTAGCTGTTAATATTCAGTCATCTTGAAGGGGCTGCAGGCAAGTTACAGGAGTATGTGGGAGGAAGATAAGTGAGGTATGACAGGGTGTAGTTTCTTGATTCCCTTTATTCCCGCTCCCCCTCCATCCACCCATGAATAAAATGGTTCCAATTTAGGCAATTACTTTTGTCAAATTAAATTCCCCTGTAATTTCAATTGGAAATAACATGACCCTTTAATACCCACCCTTAAACTCTCCCTAGTTTTGCTGCCATCTTTTAAAAAGCTGCCATGTTCTACCCCGAGGTAGCTTCATTTATGTTGGTTAACAATGTGATTCAGAGCTATATCCTATGCTAATAGAAATATTTTTCGTTGATTTCTGGGGAAGGAGGACTGGACTTAGGCAGTCATAGTGATCAGTTGCAGAGGTTGAGGGCATGGTTAGAGGTTTTAGATTACTCTCAATGAAAGCTCCTGTAGAAAAATGTAAAGAGCATAGTTCCAGGAATATCTGCAACTGCCCCACAGTGATTCAGCTGCTGCTGAATTTTGAAGACCTGCAAATTTGCAGCAATGACTAGCCAAGAAACTTGGGGAGATTTTCCCCTTTCCTATGTGTGGATTTTTTCCTCTTACCTTTACATTCATCCCGGTGTTATAAATGCATTCAAATTGCTCGGTATGGAAGGTGCAAGCTGGAAAATTCTTGTCTCTTGTGTATTGCAAATTTGAAATATATAATAAGTATGTGTAATCCAGCAATTGAGCAGAAAATGCACCCAAGTGAGCCAGCCTCAGAGAGCAACATCCATGACGCCTTCCACAGGATTCTATGTCCGTGTTGTTCCTCCAAGTGGAAAAGTAATATAAAGAGGCTTGGCCATAGCCTCAGCTGCTGTAAATAGAGATGAGTACAGTGCGTCAATAATATGTGCAGCTCAATGCATGTTATGTTCCAAGATTCCCCACCGCTCAAACACTAGTTTGATAATTTGGTTTCTAGCCAACCATTACATTAAATTAACAAATAAATGAACACTTTTGCTTCTGGTGCCAGTGAATGATCTAGTCACCAGCTCATAGAAGCGAGAGGGTTTTAAACAAACTATTTGATGTTCTAGGCTAGCACTGTATCTCTCCTACGACATTGCTTGAGTATGCTGGAACATGCAAAAAAGTAAGTATTTTATGTATTCCATTATAAAAACTGTTTCTGATTGGTTCTCAGCTGTCCTATAGAAATAGGATATATACAGTATAGCTATATAGTGAGAGAGTTTTCACCAGAGAGAGTTTTCTAAAAAGGGGGGAACAAAGCTACATGACAGTTGGCGGGGGAATCCTTTAAAACAGGAGGTTACAGAAGAAGGATGGCCTCATGCAGATTTGACTAACTATACTTTATGGTACTTGATAATAAAGAGACACTTTTTTTTCTGGTGAAACAGTTTTCCATTGGTAAATATAGTTTTGTCGACATTGCAATAATTTATGCTAATTTTGATGGGAAAAAGTCAAATTAATTGTTTTATTTTCTCATTTCTCTGAGATGTTTTCTGAAGTCATTTACACTGCATCAAAATGTTAACATCAAAGTTATATTTGCATTTAATATATATTGTGATTTGAAATTTAAATATTTTTGACAATTCTGAGTCAAAAATGTCCAGACTTTCTGCTTTTCATTCCAATTCACCATAAAAACAAAATTTCAAGCTGGAAGGATTTATCACTGATTGGAATTTCTGTTCTCCAACCAACTCAACTTGGTAGAAAACTGAAGTCCAGGGACAGTAGGTTGTGTTACAAATGTGATAAGCCCTACAGAACCAAGGCAGGATTATTGGGCAAATGCTTGTTTAAAGATAATTGCACATTCCTTGTCTTTAAATATTCAAGGAAAAAGTCACAGAAGAGCTAATAATGTGATGATAGAAATGAGGTTGAAGAGGAGTATTATGGAGTGAATCTATATATTTCTTGGTTTCATTTACATATTTAACAGCTGCTTGTTTCTCTATCATATGAAGACCACCACCTGGTTTGAAAGAAGAGTGGGAATTCTGCTCACCTTTGGGCAACTATCTATCTCTGCATTCATTAATAGCTGTTGCCCATCTCATTATACATTTAAATGCTACATTATAACCTATTTATGCATTGATTTATTATAATAGCTGGCTACAAGTAGAATTATATTTGCAAATTGCTTTGATAGGTGGGAATCCTGGAGAGTAAATAGCATGCAGTGTGGAAAATCTAAGTGTAATCTGTACAGCTCACAAGTGATCATCATCTAGTACATGGCATCTTGTTTTATAGCATAAGCTCCAACATGTAAACTGGACACAGAGGCTGATGGTGAATCATGCCAATTTGTGAACCAGTGGTGTTTGTGATGTACTAACTTAGCGATATTTTATACTCACATTTCTCTTTATGGGAAGAGGGAGGAGGGCAGGAAGGTTGAAAGGGAGTAATAGAAAAACAGACAGTATGAACATCAGAATCACACAGCTAGGAAGTTTGCAAAGATTTTGGGTAAGTTAGGGCTCTCCTTCTGTTTGTGCATTTCAAGCCAGATTTCACACTTACAAGCTCTGCATTTATGTAGCTGCTGCCTTCAAAATTTACTGGTCTTAACTACCTTGCAGATGTAACATTGGACAGGGATAGTACCCCACTCTTCACTGCACTACAAAGCAGATCAAACGATTTTTGCAAAACTGAGTAAATATGTGTGTACTTTAGCAGCCTGATCCACAGCCCCTGAAAGGTAATGTAAAGACATCATTAACTTCAGTGGAAATAAGGCCCTATGAGAGCTAAAAGTATAAGATATGGGTAAGGTAAAAGAGCAAACAGATGGAGGGAATTTCTGTTTTTTTGTTGTCTCTGTTTTTTCATGATGTTTTGGGACCATATCCTGCTTCTGACTTTCCATCTACATCCTGGTCCCAACTGAAATTAATAGCAAACATCCTTTTGATTTCAATGGAACCAACATTTCACCTATCTCCTTTTAGGGTCAGTGATGTCATTGTCTCTTCTCATAGGCTGCGTCTAGATTGGCATGATTTTCCGGAAATGCTTTTAATGGAAAAGTTTTCTGTTAAAAGCATTTTCGGAACAGAGCGTCTAGATTGGCACGGACGCTTTTCCGCAAAAGCACTTTTTGCAGAAAAGCGTCCGTGCCAATCTAGACTCGCTTTTCCGCAAATTTGCCTATCTGAGGTTCCTGAAGCATACAGGACAGAGAAGGAGCAATAAAATCAGCATAGTCTATGCTGGCTCATCTGATCCTGAGAAGCTGAAAACATAGATATGAGGAGAGAACGATTAAGGCAATAAGCTGGCCTCGAGGCTGCGAGAAGTACCCGGCTGGCATCCATGTTGATACAAACACACAGTCCCTGGAAGAGGAATTTCCCACTGAGAAAAGAATGCCCAGTACTTCCAATTTAGTTATTTCTCTTACAAGTGTAAATTAAGTTCACAACTCCCTTGTAAGAACTGGTCTCACAAAAGACAGACCAGCACCATTTGGCATCACAGATAAGAAAGAGAAATACGTGACCCCATG